GGTTAAATACTTCACTTTCAATCATATTTCATTGAACTTCCATCAAGGCGGGTTACAGAAATTAATTTGCAAAGACAAAAAAACATTTGTCAGGTTTACACTAAAAGAAATACTATAGAAGGCCATATATGTGTCTCTACACATGTTAATGAGTATGAAATGCTCACAGGTCCAAGAAGGAGACGGCAAACTAGTTCTGTCCCATTTAGGATTGCCATCTTTTCTTCAAGCGAAACCTGAAAACTCTCGTGACGCGCAGACATTTTTTGGGGAGAATGAGTCGCGGCTTATTCCTATGTAAATAGCGCCACTCATTCCTATGTAAATATCACAGTTGAGACTATTTTCAGTGGGGGGCCAGTAGCTCCCATCCTTGACATCTTGTGTCCGGATTCCTGCTGCCATGAAACCCGGACACAGCATTCAAAACCTGGACTGTCTGGGTGAATCCTGGACAGGTGGCAACACTAGCCCCATTGGATCCTGTTCGTTAAGTGGATCATCATGCCATTCATATGTAAATATCACAGTTGAGACTATTTTTAGTGGGGGGCCAGTAGCCCCTCTCTTAATTTTGGTTGCCCCTGTCTGCCTGACATCTTGTGTCCGGGTTCCTGCTGCCATGAAACCTGGATACAGCATTCAAAACCCGAACTTTCCAGGTGAATCCTGGACAGGTGGCAAACCTAGTCCCATTGGATCGTGTTCGTTAAGTGGATCAACGTGCCTGTGGTCAATATAATGACGTGGATGGTACCCCAAGATAGTAGGGGTAAAGGAGTGGCCACATAAAAAAACTCTGTAGAGTAGTGTTAAGGACTCGGACATTAAGAATCCGACATATATCTGTCCCTGGGCCAAATTCAGTACAAAGTGTGCACACTGGAGTTAACACAAGGGGGCGCCTTTCCTGGTGCAGGTCAATTTTATTTCAGTAAGCATGAGATAAGAACAAAAAACGTACTCACAAACGTAAGAAGAATCATAAGCTGACAGGCAGTGTGTATCCACTGGATGATTCCTGTATGCTGGTGACGTTAACGCGCGTTTCCGGGGCACGCCCCCTTCATCAGAACGCCCAGCATACAGGAATCATCCAGTGGATACACACTGCCTGTCAGCTTATGATTCTTCTTACGTTTGTGAGTACGTTTTTTGTTCTTATCTCATGCTTACTGAAATAAAATTGACCTGCACCAGGAAAGGCGCCCCCTTGTGTTTACTCCATAGATCTACAGCTTTCCCGGCTTTCTTTTGGGGCAGCATCTTGCAGTGTGCCTAGGAGGAATTCTCATTGAGAAGTGACAAGTTTGTGGCGCTTCACTGCTTTTTAAAGTGTGCACACTATCAGTGAAGAAATAACACGCGCTGACACCGTAGAGTCAGAGTAAAAATACTTCTTTATTATTGTTTCGCACTGTTGTGTTTTATATAGGCAGCTGATAGTGTATATGTAAACATAGCGTTAAGTGGTCTCTGTCCCTACTCTTACTAAAATGTTTGTGGTATTATATTTGGGGAAACACAGATTGTAATGGGGAATATGGTTTCTCGTCTTCATTCAGGTAGGTGTCCTCTTCTACCTGAATCATAGTTGGGGTCAAAGTACTCTCATCAACCACCTTGGTCATCAACTTTCTGGCATAGGGGATCACACAGCAGACTACTGGGCTGATAAAGGTCAGAACAATGAGAATCACCACACCTACTTGGGCTAATGCTTTCTGCCATCCTGTCATCCAATCAAAATATTGGTCCCATGGGTCTGTGATCCCTGAATTCTTCTTTAGTTCCACTGACAGGTCTTCTAGCTTCTTAATGGCTAGGGTAACTTTACCATTTGGGCCGGTGTTGTCTGGGATGTACGTGCAGCAGGTTCCTGTGCCTTCAATCATTGGGCAAACACCCCCCTTCTCCGCTAGAATCATGTCTAGGGCCATCCTGTTTTGGAATGTCATGTAAGAGGTGGGACCTAATTGGTTGGCATTTCCCTGCAGGGCATCTCTGGTATAATTCACGAACCGCTGCTGATTGTAATAGACGTAATTTATCCAATCTACGTTCTTGTTGATAGTGATCATGGGAATCAAGGACTCAAAACCTGCTTTTACCTGGTCTCGGGCCTTAAACTTGTTTGGGACCCCCCTTGGGACTCCTATGGCATCTATATACACATGTGGGTCAAAACTGCCTGCTGGTGTACTCCTTTTTCTTCTCTGGTATAATTCACGAACCGCTGCTGATTGTAATAGACGTAATTTATCCAATCTACGTTCTTGTTGATAGTGATCATGGGAATCAAGGACTCAAAACCTGCTTTTACCTGGTCTCGAGCCTTAAACTTGTTTGGGACCCCCCTTGGGACTCCTATGGCATCTATATACACATGTGGGTCAAAACTGCCTGCTGGGGTACTCCTTTTTCTTCTACAACTGGGCGGGAAGAATTAATATGAACAGGAGCAATAACATATATATATATTATAATGTATATTGAAATAGGCATTTTTATCATAGTCACTTAACCACATCCATTACAGTAGAATAGAAGGATGGAAATGGGACAAATTTCAGTAGTAAATGGAACAAATTTCAGCTGTTCAGAAACAAGATGACTGTAAGTGCTTGGTGAAGAAATGAAATGAAATACTTTGCTGTGCAATTTTGATTTTGTTCAATCCGGATTTATTATTGATAAAAAAAATTTGATAGTTTAATGCTACGTTAATTCTTTTGGCAGGTAAAACAGGTCCCATTTATGTATTTCAGCAGTTTGCCTGCAGTTTAGTTTTAGTGAGGGAGTTTATTTCCAAATGTACAATTTTATCCCATCTTTATGATACACTTTGGGGTAAAGAAACTGTCATAGAGGACCACGTGAATACATTAGATGCCCTTTCATATATCTGTAGCATATCACTGCTCCACGCAGCGAGAAAGCTTCCTACGTTAGCAGGTTCAGAGGTGCTTCATCCAACTAAAGTTACTCTTGCCTGGCTCAGTTATCGTCCCGCATACAGATGTTTTTTCACTTGTTGACGGAGTGTTTGAAACAGGCCTTGTTCTGTGTTCTGGGAGAGGCCACGGCAGAGCCTGGGACGGACGCGCACGGCGAGAGCTACATAAAAGGAGCAGCAGAACGGAATGAATGGGCGGCAATCCGATATTGTCTGCGAGGGGCATCATCTGGTGTCGTTCCCCTCCTGGGCCACAAATGCCATCCAGGGCCAGAGAAAATTAGCATAACACTGTGGCATAACCTGTTCGTAATATCTCCGGTGGCCTAAGTGACCCTCACGGGGCAAGGTTGGTGAATGTTTTCAATAAGCACTCACTCCGTAGGTAAACCGATCAACTGGCGCGGTGTCACTTGTCACTGGCTACTAAAACCATGTAGGTTCTGCTAATGAAGACATTGCAACTGTGCACTCGGATTACTCTTAAAGTATACCTGCCATTAAATATGTGTCCAGCCATTGTTGGCCTCCTCCTAGTGTCCTGGTTCTGCCTGACTTCAGTACATATGAGTCACAGACTCAGAGCAAGTACGCATCAGATGAAAGATCAGTATGACGCCTAGGAAATGGACAATTTCAGAATAAGAAATCGGCATGGCAGACGCTGCTGCCCCTCGGCGCTCTGCCGCCCCGAGGCCGGGCCTCGGTGGCCTTGTGGGAAATCCGGGCTTGATGCCAGCCCTATTTCTCTCTTGACAAGTTCCCCTAAAGCCAGGTGAGCAATTCTGGCCCTCCAGCTATTGAGCAACTACAAGTCCCATGAAGCATTGCAAGACTGCCAGTTACAGGCATGACTCCTAGAGGCAGAGACATATTGGGATTTGTAGTTAAAGCACGGCTGGAGGGCCGGAGTTCACCACCCCTGCGTTACAGTGTATGTAAGCGAGAACAAAATTATAATATAATGCAGCTTAGCGCTCATTCGATGAAGTGGCTGCATTTGTTTTCTTTTTTCAGGCTTTTCCCCCCCCCCCTTTAATTTCACTTGGTGATCCTGCCAGTAACACGCTTCCTATGCCAGGGTGACAACGCTCACACACTATACTAAGTAGCATTGTTATCCAAGGACTGGAAGTGTAACTTGCAGTGAAGGGGTTCTGTAGTCCACAGAGATAGCTGAGAACAATGTAACTGGTGCAGCACAGGCAGCGTGTAGAGGAAGTTATCAGCTCCCAAGATTTTCGGCAAAACCAATAGGTTGTATTTTGTAATTATTGGACAGATATAGCAAAATGCTTTCAAAGTGATGTTTTAACAGACCAAAAGGGACCAAACAGGAGAATCTAATTGTCATGATTTACATACCTTTTTAGTCACCTTAGTGGCTTTATCTTTTTCTAACCCCCAACAGAAATCGGGTTAAGAGTAGGAGGGCCTGTTCTAGGCAGTGCTGCCCTCATAAAGATTTTTACAACAACATGTCCAGTATCACCATTATTACACAATAAATGTGGACACGGTAGCAGTCAGACACCAGGGTAGCAGCTTTTAGGTTACTCAACTTTAAGCTGTTAGTTGAGCTCCTGTCGCCTGACCACTACTGAATCAATTTTTTGAAAGAAATTGCAGTCCGGTACAGGTTTTATTCATTGTCAGCATACCAGCCCTGATGAAGAGTTGTGAGCCCCCGAAACGCATTGGCTTTTTACTGTTACATGTATTTATTTTTTTAAAAACCTTCAAATGACTTATCCAATTGTTGTGTTCTTGTTCTTCCGGTCTACAAACATTTACAACGGACCCCTTGGGATACCCCTATCAACAGTGATTTGCCATCAAAGAAATTTGGACTACTTTTCCTCATGCACTCAAGGGGTCTAGCACTCCTAAAATACACTTCTACATAGTTGTAATGGATCCCGGGGACGCCGCCGTTCCGACTCACGGAACCGAGTGGAAGCTCCGCCCCCGGGCCGTCGACGTCATACGAGACCGCCTCCGGCCTCGTCATAAGCCTTGATCTCCCACCTGTCTGGCGTTCCAGCAACCCAGCGTGGACGCCAGACGAGTGCCGGTCTCCTTGCCTACAGCCACACTCACCACAGCCTGCCTCAGTACTCACCACCCGAGATTGGACCCCGGCTGACAAACCCTGGGACACTCCGAGCTAGCGTGGCCAGGATCAAGCCACCCCGAACAGCAGGACGCCCAAACCGCAAGTATTCCCCTCGGGCTTGCCACCCACAGGGGATTTAACCTTTGCTGTAAGCTATCTGGGACTTGTACGTACTTTTGCATTGAAGATAAGGGAAGTCTTCCCCCTGCTGGTGGCTAATGAGATTGCATGCACTACTGAGATTATACTGTTTCTGTGGAACCACTTGTTACACCCCTGCTTGATGAACTGTGATATTACTTGGCTTTCATATGTGAAGTGAACATAGGAAGTTATAAAACCAACAGGTCCATTGCTATATAAGTGATTGGGAACTCACGTATAGGGTTTGTGTGAATTGAACATACTCTCTTAAAGACGCGCATTGCTATGTGAAGTTAACATTAGTGAAGCGTAACACTCCCAACATCGTTCCTAGAGACTCCTCCTTATTTGCGCATTCCTTTATATTAATTACTTTAGGTGTAGCAAGCTTAGTTAGGTTGGAAGATAGATCAATGATGCACTGAGCTTGCTTGGCAATATCAAACCTTGCCATCACGTACTCCTGGGCTAGAGCACGTGATTGTAAACGTGTCTCCGCAGCTGAGCTCCATCTTCCTATTTAATAGATCATTACAATAGTAAACAATAGAAGGGCCTTGTAAGAATGTGGAATCAAATCAGAGAAGGGGAGCGTAACCATCTGAAATTTACTTTACTTTAGCCTTTAGTAAATGAATGGGGTCGAGAGGAGGAATTATGACCTCATGAGTCTGCTGCTGCTCCTTCACTGTCCAATAATGGACCGAGGACAGGGATGTGACCTCTTGCTAAATGCTGCAAGAATTTAGAAAAAAATCTAAATGCCCTTTTTATATACTTAATCCATGATCATATGACATTGCGGGTCTTCAGTCCTCTATCTTCTGAACTGAAGGTGGAAAAGTCCATGGTCATATGAAATGCTGGGTCTTGAGTCTTCTATCTTCTGAACTGCAGGAGGAAAGGCCCATGATCATATGAAATGCTGGGTCTTGGGTCTTCTATCTTCTGAACTGCAGGTGGAAAAGTCCATGATCATATGAAATGCTGGGTCTTGAGTCTTCCATCTTCTGAACTGCAGGTGGACAAGTCCTTCTTCAGGTGTCCATGTTGCTGCCTAGGTGATATGCACTCTTTCCATTGGCTGTTCAGCGGCAGGGTCCTCTCATAATTCCGAAGACTGCAGCAGTATGATAATGTCACGATGGTGGGTGGCAACAAAACTGGTTGGAGGCAGGCCTGGATTGCGGTGGTGGATTACCAGTTTCCAGTTCTGGAAGAGTGACATCAGTGACCCACTCCCCACCTTTGAGAGACATGGGACGGTAGATTTTAAAACACTCTGGAAGCCCTTTTTGAAACACATCTTTCCTCAACGGTTGGGAAGGAGGTGGTGCGGGTGGGGGAGGGGGTTATCATGGCTTGATTGGGCATTTAAATTTTCCCAAAGGCCTTTAACTAACTCTTAGCTTCCTTAATCCTAACCCCAACCCCCAACAAGCTGAGCTTCCAAGTACATAGAGCATTCTCAAAACTCTGATAATGGCGTCCTTTGTGGGCAGTTGGATCGTCTTGCTTTTGATGTCTGTGGGTAGCATTTTAGGCCTAGCGAGATGAGACAAGTTAGCTACAAACTGGCTCCGATCAAATACCGTTTCCATCCTAATACACTTTCCAAATAACTACTTTTCTTCCTGCACCGCGAATCCACTGAGTGGGTGTACACTACATTATGTAAATTTGCAGAGACGACATGTTCTTTTCAAGCAAAAAAAGCTGCGAAAATAACTCTCTGTTCTTGTAAACAAATTTAAATAAAATGCCACTTTGAGGTGGTGGGGGGATCTTAGCTAGACAAAGACGTTCTTATCTCCTAATAATACTTCACTCATGCATTGCTGTTTACTGAGGCACAAAACTGCTGCTTCTGCCTTTATTTTTGATGCCTAGACACTGTTTCGCTAATCCTCAGGCTGCTCGGGTCCCAAAGAGTTATAGCGAGAGATTACAGACATTCAAAACTGTATTGAACCACATTCCAGAGCCACAAATTGTAAGAGCACTCGCTATTCTCAGTCCTTGCTCAGCATCTGCTCACCGCAGATTCTCTCTCTAGTCCGCCGGGACTCCCTATGAATAACTAGCTTCCAAAATTAAAACGCAATTAGAGAACTTTAAAAAAATCCTCCCAATAAATAAAGATTTTAATACAATATCAGCTCCCCAGACAACGCAGGAACCCTGGAGATCATAGCTCTGTAAAAAAAAAAAAAAAGGTAAAATAAAAATATAGAACTTCATTTTTATTAAAACTTACAAATGTGTTATAACTAAATATTCATCTGTTTTTATTCTAGTTGTGGCATTTTAATATGGGCACTTTGAGGGCACTTTGGGGGTTTTGCATGTATTTTCTCACAACTTATGATGCTCTCTCCAGAGATGTTTTATGGCTTTACTTGAAACAGAACCTAAATGTGAAAATAAGGATTAGATGCTGTATCTACACTTTGCTGCTCCTTAACCAAAAATAATAGACTGTTGGAATAAGTATGTTTAAAGGAGAACTATGGGGTTAAGGCTTTTCCCCATACAGTGCCTATCTAGAGGCAGAGCCAGCTATATATATATATATATATAATGTACAAACTGTTGGACAAACACAAATAACTGAGAGCACTCATTCATCCCCCTCCCTGTTTGCCTGTTTTCCATTCAGATTTTCTGAAAAGAAACACCTCCTGCATTGCTCACTCTCTCTAGAGAACCCATAGTTCTCTGACACACTAGTTTCAGGGGTTCACCCTTTTTTTTGTAAACAAAGATTCTATAAAAATGGTAAAAACCCGATATAAAACGTAGATTTAAAAACATATAACCTAAAAGAAAACAAATTGCCCCATTTGAAAACTAAAACATAAATAAACAAATAAATATCTAAATAAAAAATAATAATAAATATGTTTACAGGGTTTTTCACTAAAGGGTGAAGAGTTTGGAGAAGGCAGGAGAAGTGAACAAATTAGGACATCATAGCTGATTTGGAAAAATGCTCCCATTCGGCTCACTTTTCAGCTCAGCTATATTGTCCTAGATTGATCACTTCTCCTGTCTTCTCCAAACTCTTCTCCCTTTTGTGAATAACCCTGATAATAATAATAATAATGAAGTGACCTTGTGTCATTATAGTTTCTCTTTAATAAATAGGCCTTTTAAAGCATGGTATGTAGAGTATGAAGTTGTTTTTTTCTCACCTTGACAATAAATATCAGAATCATAACTGTAAATCCATGAAAAAAAATGGTGTCTTCTCTCCCTGCGATAAATACGGTGACTGGTTAACTGGTGTTAACAAGGACGGTGCATTCTAAATCTCCCTTTAATGTAACACAGTCACTTTCTTATTTCTGGTGGAATTTCACCTATAAGACCATCCTAATAATCTTCTTAGTACAAGGCTGACATGTGAGCCAGACTTTAAGATGTTTCAAGGAGAAAGAAAGTATTTCTTCCCAACAAGAAAGGATCAAAACAAAGGCAATGTTTGTCTGGACCTTTCATTTTCAATTTTTTTCCCCCCTATCGTAAAGAGATATCGGCACGAGCTGTACTGAGAGAAAAATCCACATTAAAAGTAATCAGAATTATATCTTTGATGCAAGAGCTGCTGATTCTTACACTGTGAAATCTAGGACAAAGTGTACTCTAGGCAACTTTCTCCACAAACTGAGGCTGCGCACACACACAGACACAAACACACACAAAAGAAAAGAACAAAAACAGAAAACTTAAAGTAATTGATTAAAAAGGCCTTGTGGTCAGGGGCATCCCGAGACCAGGTGACAACCCGCCGTGTCGTCACCGCGTGTGAGCGTGATGTCGCCTCACGCACGCGTGATGATGTCATCGCACATGCGCGGCCATCTGATTTACGCCTGCCAGCAGCCATCTTGATGATGGACACCGGCAGAGAGAGGGGGGGACGTTCACCCGGTGGGATGAGGTATGCCGCCGGGTCCCCTCCTCTTTCCTGACACTGTCGGGCTCTCTGTCCCTGACCGAGTGCCCGACTTTTTAGAGGGGGTGACACCAAAATGACTGTCAGTCATTTTGGCGTCACCCCTGCAATGGTGACACCCGGGTGCGGGCTGCACCCCCTCCACCCCCCTTGTGACGCCACTGCTTGTGGTCTCTACACCCTCTGCACACAGCCTTTGTGCCCTGGTTGTTCAGGAATGGCAACTTATATTTACGGATGTGAGATGGATAAACTTAAAGTGTTACCTAGGGCAAACAACGCCATAACCAGTCAAAATGAGTATCGGCCGTACCCCCCTGATGGCTGCCCTGGGTGCAGCAAGACAAGCTACTCCCCTCCTCTCACCTGCATGCTAGTAGCTGGAGACTGCGCCCATCCTTTGTTTTGGGGCGGGAGGGGGCGTGGCGGTGCATTGAACTCAATGGCACGCCCTCTGGCCGCAATGCAATCGGCTGCACATTTGCCTGTGTTCTGCGTGCACGCGCTATTTTTTCTGACTGCACCGGACCGGAACACAGGCACTTGTTTGCCACAAAATCGGCCCGGAACAGACTGAGGCTGGTGTGAACTATCCCTGAATGGTGTAATGAGTGGCTTTAAATGGCTGCTGAGGGTGACAGAGCCAATTTAATCTTCTTAACAGCCTCTTACTAACATAATTAATTAAAATGTTTTAAAGAAATAATTTTTAAAAAGCAGCAGCGATAAAAGCAAAATAAAAGATTTAAAACAACAAAAATAATAAAAAAAAATAGAAATAAACAAACACACAAAAACACTAATTAACTAAACTAGACCACCCTCAACATACCCCCCGCCCCCCTCAAAAAATACACCATCAATAAAAAAAGAAATACAAATAGCTATTTTTTTGTTTAATTAAAGCAGCTCAATGGATCATAATTTGGAGTTTCCGCTTCGGTATCAACAATCTCATGATGAATGAAATGAATATTGCTGAAATCACGCCACTTTCTTCTTAAAGATTATGGCCACCTTTAGTTGGAAACCCAAATG